ATAACATATATTCGTTCAAAATCATCAAATTATCTACCATTTTCAAGCAATTCCTATACATCATTATCAAAATTACAATATACACAAATTGATACAGGTGTTATATCAAATCAAAGTTATGCATCATTTGGTTATACAACACTATTTGGTGATTTTAATAATGATGGATTATCTGATCTGGTTATATCAGCACCGGATTATTATAATTTAGGTTGTTCACAAGGTGGTCGTGTTTTTATTATTTATGGAAAGAAAGATCAATTACCAATACCAGAACATAATATTAATATTATTGAACAAATAGCTAATCAAACATTAATATCACCTGATTGTGATGGTGATCGATTTGGAACTGGTTTAACTTCACTTGATTGGAATAATGATGGATATAATGATCTTGTTGTTAGTAGTCCATCACATGGTTATGGTTATCGTGGTGCTATATTTATTTTTGCTGGTAGTAAAGACGGTCTTGAAACAAAACCATTTGTACGTATTGATGGTGTTAATGAACATGATTCAATTGGATTTGAATTACATGCAGCACATCTTGATAATGATACTCTATTAGATTTAATTATCACAAGTCCATATGCTCAACCAAATGGTTATGATCAACCACAGCAAGGAGCTGTTTGGATATTTCTTAGTTCACATCAAATATCTGACCGACAAATAACAATAAATAATGCAACATTTACAATCTATGGTGAAAATGCTAAATCAAAATTTGGTTATTCACTTCAAATTATTCCTCCATCATGTATTAGTCACAAAACATCATCACCAGCACTTTTAATTAGTTCACCAATGAATCAAGGAAAATTATATGTTTATATTATTGAATCTCAAGTCCGTCTTTTAATGACACTTGAGAGTACACAAGAACATGCACGTTTTGGACAAAGCTTTTCTATTCAACAAGATAAATGTTTATTAGCTGTTGGTTCTCCAACAGAATTAAATGATTGGTATGGTGTTGTAGATATTATTCCATTATATAGTCTTTTTAATCAATCAAAAATTCATCTTAAACTTCATGATATTCCAATTCTTATTTCAATACATGGTCATAAAATTTTTCAACGTCTTGGTACAAATATTCAATGGACAGCAAATGGTGATTTAGCTATATCAGCTCCATTAGGAAAAGAAAAAATCTTGCCATTAGAATTTGAAAAATCTGAAGGTTATGTTTATATTGTTCCATCAAATCGAATTCCAACTCAACCTGATCCAAATATTTATTATATTGATAAAATAAGTTCAGTTACATATGCTGCTCATAATCGTTTGAATCGATTTGGTACTCGTATGAATATTCTTTCTTCAAGATTTGTTTCTTATTTAGTTATTTCATCACCATTTACTACTCTCTATGATGATGTTCGTTTACCTGGAATGTTATATTTTCAAGAATTAAAATTATAAAATTTACTATTTTGTTTAAATAAATATTTTCTTGATATAAATATTTTATTTGTGAAATTTGTATATCGATTAACAACATTTAAATATGAATATATAAAAACAAAAGGAACCGAAATGAATATATTGTATATAATAAAGAAAAAAAATGTGTAGATATTTATTTTTTCATTGATCTTGCATTCATTGTAATCAATGTTAGAAAAGCATCTGTTTCAACTATATAACGTTTATCTTCTGGTAAAAGACTTGATATAATATCAGGATCAACTCCTTCATTTTGCTAATAGAAAATAGAATGAATTATCTTTTTAGACTATGATAAAGAAATTCTATACCTTGAGTGCTTGACGTACAATTTCTAACGTTTCATCACCGAGAATTTTACGTAATTGTTCTTCTCGTTCATCATCAAGTTTAACACGTTGTTCAAGATTATCTTCATCTTCTAGATTACACCAAATATTATCATCGTCATTATCATCATCATCTTCTGTAAGTGATATTCTTGATTTCTCATCTTTTTTTATAACAGGTTCACTTGCACAATGTTTCATTTTATTTTCATCTTCATCTTCATCATCATCATCATCGATTAACCAACTTTGATAAGCTTGTTTTAATGTCTGTGTATCTTCATCATCGTCGCCATCATCAGATTTTTCACCGCTTGAATTCGAGTCACTACTACTAGTACTAGTGCGAGTAATTTCTTTTTTAGTACCAGAAAATAATGGTTCTTGTGATGATTGAACAATATCAGTTAAACTTCGATTCAATTTATGTGATTTAATCGTTGTTGTTTCTTCAGGTAATTCATCAATTTTATGTAATTCTGGATTGGAAACAGTTCGAAGAAGCTTAAAAAGAAAATATTTATCATAAGTATGTCTTGAAAAAAAAAAAAGTCATTTACAAATTTATTTTTGGCATCGAGACGTCCTGTTGTTAAACATTCGATAAGTTCAACTTTATCTGATGCTGATATAGTTCTATTTTAAAATTATATGAAAAATTATCAAATAAAAAAATTCGCATGTTTCTTTTGTACCTCTGTTTTTTGTCTTCAGTCAATGTTCTCTGTAAATCTTCCACAACTAAATCATTTTCTTTTGGTTTTTTCGATGTTTCATCTGTTGTGGTACTAGAAGAAATAACTGGTTTTGGACTACTAATAACATAAGTTTCATTGTGTCGATTTGGATTAACTCGATTAGCTAATGCTTTTAAACCAATATCTGATGTTGCCGTATTAACTGTACTTGTTAATGTATTATCGTAAACATTTGCATGTTCAAGTACACTTATAATTGTACCACGTGGTGCTGCACCCCATTGTTGTCGATTCGGTGTATTTGGTCTTTCTAAATTCATAGCTTGTCCTTGAATATTTAGATCTGTTAAACATGAATCATTCATTATAGATTGACGATTAAGAACTGCCGAATCAAGCGGTGCTTGTTGATTCCATTGTGAACGGACTTTTGGCGGTCCACCTCTTTCATTCCAACGTTCTCGAGCACTTTTTTGATTCAGATCTTGTAAAATATTCTTTTTTCTTTCTTGATTTGCACTAGACAAAAAAAAGCCATTATTTTACTAACAAAATAATTTTATATACAAACCTTGATGGTCGACTACCAAGATCATTCAATACTTCAGTGAGATTATTATTAACTGCTTCAATCTTTTTTAACGCTGCTTCTTCAGCTTTTTTCTATTTAAAAATAAATAAGAATAATAATTACGTTATTTATTTTTACTTCTTTTTCTCTTTGAGATATAATAGCCTGTTGATCATAAGCTGAACGATATCGATCATCAACTTGAATATTATTGGATGGCTTTAAAAATAATATTCAATAATTAGATAAATAAAATAAAACAAAAATATTTAATTACTTTATTCGCAGCAAATTTTTTAAATGCAGTTGGTGGTTTATTATTTATTTCACGTTTACCTACGAGATTTTTTCGACGAATTTCATCAAGATTTCGTTCTACTTCAGCTACTTGACCAATATTTGGATTGATAGCAGCAGCAGCTCCCTTAATTAATTTATTATAGAAATAAAATAAAAAAAAGAATTTAAGGACTATCTTACGCCTATAAAACCTTGTCCACGATCTTTATTGAATTGAGCTTGTCGTCTATTTTCGAAATAATCATTTTTTACTGCTGGTGGTCGACCAACATTTGCACTAAAATAAGAAATTCATAATCAGTTACTATTAGCATAATCATAAATATTTACCCTGGAGTTGGACGAAAATTTTGATTCGCAGGAGGTGGTGTTTGATATACTTGAATATGAGAATTAGGTTGTTGCATTTGATTATCTAAAATTAAAAATTTTTTTCCATAATCAGTTTCTAATATTTATATAGACTTTTAGTCCAATCATCCATATTGCGTTCTCCATCAGCCATTTTTTGTTTATGTTGATCTAAGAATGCATGATATTGATCATAATTACCTGCTTTAGGTGTACTTGGAATCGGTGATGCTACAACCTTTAATGTTTTTTAAGTATAAAAAAGTAAATTTTGATTAATTTACATACTGGTTTTCTTGCTGATATTTGATTCATTTTAGGTTGTGGAATTATTAGTGGTGGTGGAGGAGGCTGTTTATTTACATCTGATTGATCCTATGATGCGAAAATGGATACATATATGCTGATAATACTAACGATAGTCTTACCGAACCACTATTATATGACAACAAAGGACTACGATATTTATCACGTTGAATACGTGATTTTTGCTCCTTCTCGTATAGTTCGCGTTGTTTTTTCTCCAACTTTTCTACCTAAACATAAGGAAAAATTAATTCCTATGAAAACAGTGGTTTCTTATTTGTTTCAAACGAACTTCTTCTTTTTTTCTAGCAATTTCTCTGCGTTGTCTTGCTATTTCATTCTCTTTCTCAACAGATATAGCTGGTTTTGGAGTAACTGCATTCGATTTTTTGACTAATGGTACACTGAAAACAAAAATCTATAATTAGTAATTATGATCTTTAACAAACCGATTTGCAGGACTAGGAGTTGCAGAAGCTGGACGTCTCATAGGTGAAGGATTTGCATAAACTTTAACTGGATCATGTAATGGTACTTTTGCTGCTGCTGAACCTGGTCGAGCAGAAGCTGGTGGTTGATGTAGAACATTTGATTTTGGAACTACTAGCGGACGACCGACTGGTGATGGATTTGGATGAGCAGCATCAAAAGATAGTTTTTGACCATGTAAAACAGTATGATCAAATTCAGCTTGTTGCACCTATGTTATGTAAAACATGTGAAAAATTTTATTTCCAACAAGAAAAAGAAAATACTTCATCTGCTAAATATTTTGGAATGCGACGATAGATAAATGATTTTTTTAAAATCGTATTTACAGAAGGACGTTCGCGTGGTTCTCGTTTAAGCATGAGTGTTATTATACCTCGTAAATCAGTACTAAACGTCGCAGGTATTGGATTAAATGAACCACTAAAAATAGAAAGCATGTTTATAAAGAAAAAATAAAATATATCAATTTTTACCGAACAATTCTCATTATAAGACCATTCATATTATTAGCATCAAACTGAAAAGCAAAACAAAATAAGTATTACTATTAAAAATTATTTAAAAATTTCTTACAGCATGTTTAAGAGTAGTTACTTCATATAAAACACAACCAAGACTCCAAACATCAGATTTATTATTATATGGTCTTTGTTGACATATTTCAGGTGATAAATAATATGGTGTACCTATTTGTGTACGAGCTAATTCACATGTACTAGAAGAATATAAATAAATTTTGTTTTATATATAGAAGATTATTTTAAAAAAAATCCTACGTATTTAAAACTTTTGATATACCAAAATCACCTAATTTTGCTAAACCATCACTTGTTAAAAAAATATTCTGAAAATAAAAAATTTAAAAAAAATTTTAATCATAAATTTCATTTGATTTACTTGTGATTTAATATCACGATGAAGTACTTTTCGATCATGCACATGTTTAAGTGCTAAAGTTATTTGCACAAACCAATCAAGTATCTGATCTTCTTTAAATAAAATTCCACGTTGTTGTAGAATACGTGAATGTAAATCTCCACCATCACAAAAATCCATGACGATAAATAAACTTGTTGGATCTTAATTTAAATAAAAATTTAGTATTATTATTTCAAATGATAACTTTATTAGGAATAAAATACCTTCGAATGATTCAATATAAGAAACAATATATGGATGTTTCATTTCACTGAGAACTTTAACCTAAAATTGAATTCAAGTTTCAAAAGAAATTCATTTTGTTTAATAATATACTTCTTTTCTTGAATCATCACGTTCTTTTTTACCCATCTAATAAAAAACAAATCGTATATAATTTTATTTTATAAGAAAAAATGAATTTACTTTAGCAATTTTAATTTCTTTCATAACATATTTTTTTGAATCACTTTTCGATTGAACAAGCCATGCTTGACCAAACGCACCTGAACCTATTACTTTTTGTTTATTATATTTTTCCATTGAATTATTAAATGTTCGTCAGTTTTTTTTTATTATTATTACGAACAAATGTCTATTGACGTGAATCAATAAACATGAATCATTTTGGATTAGTAACCATATTCATTCAAACCTATTACCATCGATATAGCCTCTAACCTTAAGGAGAAAAAAAAAGAAATCAACAGTGGCGACATCAGGACTAAAGAATAGACCAATAGTTCGGTACCATGGCGTGTCAGTCAATCAAACGATTCTTTGTAAGACTAAACTAACTTATTTTTATTACAGAATTATCGTTCGTTGCTACCTAAACTTAAAAAATGCTTGATATCGAATGGCCCTTTCCAACGCATATGGTAAAACAAAATTTTAATTATTTTTATCAGAATTATCAATTTTTATTTTAAAAGGATTTTCGTGGTCAAAAAATGGCTGAAAGACTATTTCAAGTTATTATTGTTTTTTTTGGTGTAAGAATTTTATATTTTTATTTTTTCTTATGTCTTATTTCGTTTTTATCAATAGCTTATTGGTTTTCTTGCTGGTTATATGATGCAACAATTTAGTATGACGATCTATAGTGTTCTTTTTGGCGTTTTAGTTTCTGCTGTTGTACGTACTATAATTTATAAAGAGAATTATCTATTAAATAAAAATCTATTTTTATAATAGTTAACAATTCCACCATGGCCAATGTATCGTAATAATCCAGTTGAATGGCAAAAACCATCTAATTCAACTAAAGAAACAAATAAAAATAATGCATCATCATCATCATCATCAAAATCACCAAATAAAGATGTCCGTAAACCACCAAAAGGAAAAAAAGACCAATAAAAAACGAAATTTTGTTTTATTGTTATTGAGAAAAATAAAAATGATCTTAGCTGAAGAGTAAAAGCTATTCTGTTCAATCTATGAAAAATTCCGATATGAAAGTCTTATCTAAAAAGTTTTAATTTCAATTATGATTCATTGATTTTACTTAATAATCATGAAGAAATATTAATTCTGTAAATTTTCAATTGAATACTTATTTCTTTTTAATTCATTAATATCTTCAAGTGATATAAACCATCAAAATTTCTTTCCTTGTTTTAAATAAATCTATTGATATATTTCATGTAAATTATCGATTCGATTAAGTATAATTACTTGATTATTTTCCCATTTATTTATTAGAATTTTAGAATTATGAGAAATATCTTTAACTGATTCACTAACATCAGAGATGGCAATAACATTATCACGAATTTTTTCTTCATATAATTACTCTTATTCTTGTATCATATAATTACGGACAATGTTTGAAATGTTCATATCGTCTATGAACATTTCTAATTGCTTTCATTCTATTTATAATATTTCACATTTTTGCCACTTACTTCATGTGCTTACATATTGAAACTAGATTTACGTTGTATACGTAGTCTTGAGGGTGTGGGTGTGGGGGTGTGGGTGGGTGTGGGTGTAGAAATCTTTTCTTGATTCACCAGTACCGACATCCACACCCTATGAAAATTTTTTTGTTTCATTGCTGATAATAGATAGCCACTAGCTGTTGATCAACGTTTTCCATGTTTAGTTGATATTTGTGACATTGATATACATCCATTAAGAGATTCTTCAGCATTATAATCTTTAGTTTGATAACATCCATTTTTTTTACATGATTCAATAAACAATTGATTTTATTTATTAGATTCTTCTAATACTGTAACATTCGATCAGACCTTTATTTTGATCATAATTACGAAATTTTGCATTTTCTGGAATTGAATTTATATTAGTTCGTTCTAATTTTTTTAAAATATAGTAATAATTAGTTAAATGACCATTCTTCTAATTCCTAACTATCATAATCATGTGAATCACCTCGAACATATTGCATAAAATTGATAGAAGAACAACCACCAAAAACTTTTCCACGTGGCCAGTTACTTTGTTGATTAATACAACTAAAATGTGAATTAACTTGCGATACAGTTTTATATTGCCAATCAGTATTACCATGTTGACAACTTGCACTAAAATTCATAAAATAAAACTATTTTATACCCTCCAGTTGGCGTATGGATTGTATCGGTTGCAACAGTACCATCAGCTTCAATGAGAAGAACTTGTTTATTATTTTGTTCAGAAAGACGATTGGCTAAAACAGCACCTGCTGAACCTGAACCAACAATGCTATAATCATATATAATTCCATCTGTTTTTGTTTCAGAAAAATCATCTTCCCAACGGCGAACAACAGATGAAGATTCACTGATAACTGGTGCAGGAACTTTATCATCAATACTTGTTTGTGACATTAGTTGTTTTGTGTTATCCTATTGAGAACTTTATCCGATTAAAATTGATCATAATACATAATGGTGAAGGAGATGAATACGCTCGATTATTTATATAAGAATCAGATCTCTTTATCTCAATATTTTTATGTTTACGACTATTCCCTATAATAAAATCCGATCCCGTTTATCACTCAGTTTATATAGTGAAGCAAGGCAAGTAAAAAGAGCAAAAAAAAAAGAATTCATTTTTTCCAACGTTCTTCAAAGATAAGACATAATATTATGGGAAAGTGGTAAAATGTCGACATAGAATGTCGAAAATTAGAAAAAGTAAAATAGAACTATTATTAGCTTATATGCTATTGATTCAGTTAAATCTTGAGGATGTGAGGGTTGGTGCAGGTGTGAATGAGATAAATAGACTACACCCACACCCTTGAAACTTATTATCCTGGTGGATATATTAAAGAATCATACAAAATAAAATATCAAAAAGAATGTTAATAAATTAATATTCAATATATTTAATAAATATCAATTACAATTTTTAAAACTATGTTTTCTATACAAAAACACGTAGTTATATTATTTTTAAGAATTGCCGTATACAGAGAAGAAGACAATTATAAACATTTCATTTCGAGGTTTACACATCAAAATTTGACTCTTTCATAATTTTTATATTATTTATTAACTAGGTTTTCTTAAAATTATTAATCTTTACCGAGATAGAAAAATAACTTTTGTCCTATAGTTTTTTTTCTACACCATGAAAGTATATCCATTAGTATAAAAGTCTTCTCTATGCTATTGTTTTCAACTAACATAATCATTGAGATTTATTATAAATTCACTTATATAACTAATAGTTTTCAATTTATTTATTTTTTTCATTTAAATATATGCATAGTTTATTCTGAAAATATAACATAATCATTTACAAATATATTTATTAAAAAAACTCCAATATTGTCTCAATTGTATTTTTGATGTACAAAATATGATGAAAATATGTAAAGAAAAACGTGTCGTTACATTTGTTTATTTACTTTATCAAGGACGTTATCTACCTGTATGCTATTTCACGTGTCATTAATATGAATATATAAAAAAATCAATTCTTTATATAACGATTTCTTTTTACTCTAACGAACAAAAAAGAAAAATCGAATATCTGTAAATAACGTTTTTCTATATAAAAATATGTATAAGCATGTGCATATTATTCGACTAAAAATATTAATCTTTATCAAGAATCTATACATGAAATAGATAGTCTTTTGTGAATATAACGATAAAAAAGAACAATTCTTATTGATCAATTTAATTAAATATTGTAAGCACAAAAGAATTTATTTGAGAATATTGAATTATTTTATTTAGAGAAAAAAGACACAAATTTTTATCTTTTTAAACGCTTTTTCTCTCATAAAAATTTTAAGAATTGAATTAATAGAAATATTCAAAAATGAATTTCATTTGAAAACAGAAGAACACAAATCGAATATTATATTTTGATATTTTTTGTTAAATATATTAAATGACTTTAGACTAACTTGAAATTATTTAAAAAAGAATAGAAATAAAACCACTTAACAATCAAACTTGATCGCAAAATAATCAGATGTAGTTGAACTTTGAGAAAAGAAATGATATTTATTTGTTCTAATCTATAGACTATTCGAAAATCTTATATAATGAAAAATCATTTCTTACAAATAGTAATAAGATTTATTTTTGAATAAAATAAGTGGTCACATTGAAATTTTTCACTTGTTAAGATATGTACATTTTGTAAATATTAGTGAATTGTATCTACAATAAAAAAATTTGTATGAATATTTATTTTTGAGATGATCGAATATTTTTATGAAGTTATGATGTAAAAAAATTCTTAGACAACCATCTCGATGGTGTGGGTGTGGGTATGTGGTGTATATAATACCCACACCCACCCACTCTTGATCCTCAAGAGTTACGCTAATGGCTTTAATATGGAGAAATAAAGTTTTGTATAAATAAAAGAATATCACAACATAAAAGAATAAAATAAAAAAGGATGCCATTTCATCAATTCAGAGATGATACATCACCACCAAGAAGTGATACGCATATTTACATTAGATTCAAGGTTGGTAGATCTCAGGAAATAACAGGATAAAAGTTTCGAATTTTGACATTGTTCCAGAACAATTTCTTCTAGATTTTTTCCGAATTGTGCTATTTTTTTAGATCTCATCTTTGGTGTGTTTCATTACGATATCTAATTGAAATTTTGAAATAAACTAAATACTCTGTATTGTCGTAAAAAGTCATCTGGTTAAATCATTTCCTCGGCAGAAACTGAATACTAAGCTTAAGAAATTATTTTCTTACATGATTTTTTTTACATCCTAAACTGAATTTCATTCAGTTACAAATAATGAGTTCGAATCACTCTTTAAAAAGAAGCTTCTCCTGGGAAGATTTTGGTTAAAAGAACATAACTATTATTGTTTTCTGATTTCCGTTGAGCTGCATGTAATTAAGTAGATGCTAATTAAACAAATATATTGTAATAAAAGAAAACATAATTTATGTATTGACATGATAAATAACTGTCTTCTGTTTTTTTTCGAACTAGTGCAAAAATAAATTTAATAACAAACTCTGTGCAAGGTTTGATAAGGACAATTTCCACTGTCGAAGCATGACAGATTCTTATTAATTTCGTATTTTATGACCATTTTTGGTTAATCTTACGTTCATCTTATGCAATTAATTCAATTATGGAATAACTTATGAATTTACGTTTTTATTTTAGTTTCTATTTAGAATAAATATAGAATAAAATGAAAAAATACAATCGAATGGATGCTAACTAAAAGAATACAAGAACAAAAAAGAAAGTTGCTTATATATAAATTATTTAAAAAAATATGTATTGTGAGTAATGTTCATTTTCGCAAAAAAATGTCATAGTATAAATGTTTTTAATTGATTTTGCATGTAATCGTTTCTTTTGGTACACAAAAAACCAGCCCAACCTGTACTCTGTCTTAACAACCAGCATAAGCAAAAGAAGCGGCACTATTAACACCATAATCAATATAACCATTAGCAACATCAGAAGCACAAGAAGAAGCAGCAGCAACAGGATAAACATTATAAACACTATCAGTACCACCACTATAAACAGTAGAATGATAACAAACACTAACAGCACTACCACTATTAGCATTAATACAAGGAGTACAAGTAGTAGGAGCAGTAACTGCGCAACAAGCAACATGACATGTAGGTACACCTAAAATTAAAAAAAGTATTAATAGATAAATATCATAAAGAAAATAATGCTAAAAACCAATTATGATCTGTCGTAAATCTGAGGTGCACTATTTACAAACGCCTGAAAGAAAAGAAACAATGTTGTCATATAGGAATTTTGATTGAAATGGAACTATCTGTCACTATCTCAAAAGCTAAACAACTAGGTCTTAAAAATCAACGTCAGATAAAATCACTCGATAACACTTGTCATTATCTGCACTAGTCTAAAGCAATTCAAATTCAGCTGAAATGAAAAAAATTAAGAAGGATCAATCAGAATTAACTGATTTAGACGCCCTTAAGATACTTATGACTTAGCTTTTCAGGCGCAAAAAAGTTTATTCCCATTACGAAAAACGCTTCGGTGCAGATCTATTGCTCCTATATCATGCGAACTTTTCATATCCTTTTATACATGCGCAGAGAAGAAAAAAGAGCAATCGATAATAGAGGAGCATTTTACTCACAAGAATGTCTTAATAAATATGATATTTATTCGTAACAGTTACTTAAGTGTCTAACACTGATATTTTCCACCGGTTTGAAATAATAAGGAATATAATTTCATTGATTTAAGTGTTTCCTAGTAATAATCATAGTAGTTTATCAAATGAGATGATAAAAGAAGCATAAAAATAAAGATTTGAGGCGTGGGCCTTGAATAGGTTTGTAGATATTCGACTGACAGTACAAATGTACTACTAAATATTAACAGTCTATCTTAACGACCTATGCAGTGCATTGCTTTTCAAAAAACATGAGCAAAAAATTCTCAGACAGCTCATTAAAGGACTTTGCTATTACTTATTATCAAGACATGTTCATCTATTCATTTCAATGCTAAAAATAAATCTATCTGAATCATCGTTTCTCTAAAAAAAATGGAAAACATGAAAACACTCTTATAACGCCTTTAAATTCACGCCTAAACTTATTAGTACACCACGAACGTTTCGTTACAAAGACAGAACGCTTCTCACTCTTTACTACAATCACGTCCTTGCACATCAAAACATATAGTAACTAGTCTGTTTTTCTGAATCTGTACGATTTAATCAACACGTCTAAGGATAATGGCGTATAAATTCAGACGTGCTGCTTTCGACTTATAGTAAAGGACATATTTCTGGTAATTTATTATTTCATTTGTGATTTAGCTGTATTCAGGATTTCTATGAGAAAAAGTTTCTTATTTTATCATCAGCGTTTTCCAAAAACATGATATACCGGATTATATAGTAAAAATCTCAGGTTTCAATCTTTTTCTATCACAGATTATTTTAAAAACAGTCATTGCTCTTCTCTTTTTGATGTGGACATTAGTAGTCAACTAGTTACAGCTAGCATCAGTTAATGACTGAAACTAAAATCTGTTTACGGTAAATCAAATAGTGAATTACGCTCTCGAGAGAAAATGCTTCAGCAAAGTGTCGATCAAAACAAATAAAAAAGACTCTGTGTGATTGGTTGAAAGTTTGCAAGAGAACGGAGGTCAACATTTCGGGCACAATTTCTGTGAAAGACTAGCTATTAGATGCTATATGAAGTGCGAACGTGTTGTCTTTTCTATCAGTCACACATAAAAAAAACAATTTCTGTACTCATTCTTGTCTGAAAAACTATACCTGTAGTTGTGGGTGTGGGTGTGGATGGTGTTGTTATCGGTGGTGTCGTTGTTGTTGATGTCGTAGTCGGTTCTATTTTGAAAAAGTGATTTTAGAATGAGACTAAACAATTGGATAATATTTGTTCTTTTTCTGTAACAATGTAGCGAGGTTAAATATTAGTTGATTATAATAGAATAGAAAATATTTAGATGATTTCCATTATAATTGTAATTCTATGATATTTATTTTAATTACATCTCTACTATAATAGTTTAGACAACTCAATTTAAATTTCTTAGAAGTTTAATAATTATTTAAGATTAGATTCTGATCAGAAACTAATTATAACTGAAAGAGGAAAGATGATAGTTTATGTATATCTAACACAAAATCAAATGGATTCAGATTGATCTAATTTATCATTTTCTTCTCAATATTCTTCATGATTACAGTGTGTCCAGTCATATTGTTAAGAGATTCTTTCCGGGACAGAGGAAAATTTCTACATGACATATTTCAATAATATTCAGAAATGTCAGATTTCCAATTTAAGTTTAATTTTTCTGCATGACTTAACGAAGCGCAATACTATCCTCAAACTACTGGCCATCATCATCTCAATAAACAAGTCTTGTAGTTTATTATCCTTTTCCTAAAGATCTCTGCCGAATGTGCTATATTTCTATGAAATTCTGATGAAAACCTGTTTAACAGACATCGATATTTTGTATAGATTTAAGAATATAAAAAGCATTATATCCATAGACGTCTTTCACGGAATGAATAATAATGTCATTTTTTGTTCATTATTCTATTGATATTCGATTGTATCAATTGTTTAGTTTCAATTTTCACAAAGCTTTTTCTTACTAAGATATTTTGAAAGTAGAGTTCGAAAATCAGATCATTTGTTTCAAAAAGAATTATTTTCAAAAAAGGCTTTGACTGAATGTTTTTTTCTATCATTTTGAGGCGAAGTGACCTGTGATTTACACATAAGTATGTTCAATATTTGTGTGAAATTGTCTTAATTCTCGATAATTGAAAATTAGTTTTCAAGAAGAAAATAACTTTTCCTCTGTCACAGATATAACTTTTTCGAAATCTCCTCTATTTATACTGACCTGGTGGAAATCGTGTTCCAATAACAACATTCATACTAGTAGCATCCACATCAGCCAACATATTTCCATTTTGATTCAACATATCAGCAAATATTTCACAACTAGAAGTTGATCGATGAAAAGTTGCCGCTGTGCATTGACTTTGAGCTAAACAGGCTACTTGACATTTCTTAATATTTGATGTAATAACATTAATAAATGGTAAACACGTGGTATTGGCACATTGAAATTTAGAATCAGGTATTAAAGACATTCGCACTGATCGTGTGTCTTCTGAGATTATTTGTGCAATAATCATAAATAAAAGGCATAAACAAACTCTTCTTGAAGCCATCAGCAACCAAATTGTAAGTTGATCAAATGAATGTAACTCATAATAGAAGACGGTCGTATGAAGTCATCCCATCGACTTATCCCAAGGATTGAGGCTCACTTCAGCTAGAAAAAAAAATAATCTAAATCATTAATATATTCCAAGATAATGTATACGCAAACTAAAATGAAGTATCTAATTTACCTGAGAGTACCTTTAGTAACTTTTTACGAGCTACCTGGGGGTACCCTTAGTAACTTTTTACTAGCTACCTGAAGGTACCCTTAGT